GTGTGTGTGTGTGTGTTTGTGTGGGTGTGCGCATGTGTGTGTTTTTGTGTGCTTATGTGTGTGTGCATGTGTTGTGTGTATGTGTTTTATGTGTGGTGGTGGGTAACGTGGCTTATCTCTGTGTGTGTGTGAGATAGAGAGAGAGAGAGAGAGAGAGAGAGAGAGAGAGAGAGAGAGAGAGAGAGAGAGAGAGAGAGAGAGAGAGAGAGAGAGAGAGAGATAAATAGAGTGAGAGAGAGAAGATAGTGTGTTTGGTCTGTGTAGTAGGTGTGTGTGAGAGAGGAGCATCATATCGAATTAATTGTTTGGTGGGTGGGGGTTAGTTGGCAGGTGGATTCATGTAGAGTAGGGCCCACCTTTTTTTGGTGTAGAAATTACAACAATATCCTTAATGAATTATTTTTTTAAGATGATGCATCATTCAATCCTATGGTTGAGATTTTATTTTCATTTCTTTCATTAAGAGTCTTTCTCACTGGAAAGTGGAACCCAACTCTCTCTCTCTCTCTCTATGTATACATATATATATATATATATATATATATATAATAATCTACCATCTTTATATATTTGCTACATGAATTATTTCATAAAATTAATATATTTAACAAGAAATAAGAAAATTTGTTAGATTTAATTGAGTAATTGAAATATGTTATTGATCAGGTTGATTAAATTACCTTTTTTGTGACAATTAAAATAGTCCAAAACCATGACAAATAGAGTTGATCATTGGTCACGGCCCAGTTTGGCCAGACCATATCGGCAGTTTTGCCAAACCAAACTGGTTATTGAAACTAAATAGAAACTCTAATATTAAAAATAATTTATTACGATAAAAGTAATGTAACCCAAGCTCCAAGTATAACTTTGTAAAAATATGTTCAATGATTTACGAATATTTATATATCGTTTTATTAGTATTTATGTAAACTAAATGATATTGCCTTACAACTTTTATTAAATATGGTAAATCAAAATTTCTCATAACCGAAGCATCATCGAACCAATCAAGTTATTTGTTCAATACATTATTAGTTGGACTTGGACCATGATTTAGTTTATTAATATTAATTAATAGTCGCTTCAT